TTTCCCCCCCCAACCCAACAAAAAACACAACACCCACACCCCCCAAAAAACCCCCCCCAAACCAACAGAACAAAACCCAAAAAACCCCACCAAACCCTGAGCCCTGGGGGACACCACTCAGGACCAGCCACGAACTGGATTTAACTCCGTTCACCACAACTCTCTGGGCCCGGCCATCCAGACAGTTTTTTACCCAGCAAGGCGTGTGCCCATCCAAGCTGGAGCAGCCAGTTTCTCCAGGAGAATGCTGATGGTAACAGTGTCAAAGGCTTTACTGAAAAGGTAAACAACATCCACAACCTTTCCCTCATCCAATAAGCAGGTCACCCTGTTGTAGAAGGAGATCAGGTTTGTCAGTCAGGACCTGCCTTTCATAAACTCATGCTGACTGCCTGATCCCCTGGTTGTCCATTTATGTGACTTGTAATGACACCTGAGATGACCTGCCCTGTGACCTTCCCTGGCACTGAGGCCAGACTGACAGGTCTATAGTTCCTGGATCCTCCTTTCTGCCTTTCTTGTAGATGGGTGTCACATTTGCCACCCTCCAGTCCAATGGGACCTCCCCAGTTAGTCATGATTTCTGGTAAGTCATGGACAGCGGCTGGGTGAGCACATCTGCCAGCACCCTTGGGTGTAACCCATCCGGTCCCACAGACCTGTGTGCATCCAAGTGGTGCAGCAGGTTTCTGACCATCTCCTCTTCCACTGTGCTGACCTCAGTCTGCTTCCCCTCCCCATCTCCCAGCTCATGGGGCTGGGTGTCCAGGGAACAGCCAGTTCCACTGCTAAAGGCTGAGGCAAGGTAGGCATTGAGCACCTCAGCCTTTTCCTCATCCTTAGTTACCATGCTTCTCTGAGCATCCAATAAAGGAGGGAGGTTTTCCCTAATCCTCCTTTTGTTGTTAATGAATTTATAGGAACATTTTTTATTATCCTTAACAACTATAGCCAGGTTGAGCTCTAGCTGTGCTTTCCCTACATCTTTATAGTCTTCATGAGAGACCTGCCCCCTCTTCCAAAGGCAATAGACTCTCCTTTTCTTGAGATCCAGCCAAAGGTCCCCGTTTAGCCAGGCCGGTCTGCTTCCCCATCTGCTTGTTTTTTGGCACATGGGAACAGCCCGTTCCTGTGCTTTAAGACTTCTTTCTTGAAGTACATCCGGCCTTCCTGGACTCCCATATCCTTCAGGGCAGCCTCCCAAGGGATTTTGCTAATCAGTCTTTTGATTTGGATCAAAGTTTGCCCTCTGGAAGTCTAAGGTGGCAGTTTTACTAAACCCTCTCTTTGTTTCTCCAAGGATCAAAACCAATTATCTCATGATCACTGCACCCTAGACAGCCTCCAACCTTTACTTCCCCACAAGCTCTTCCCTGTTCGCAAGAAGCAGGTCCAGGAGGGCACCTTCCCTGGTCGGCTCACTCACAGCTGTGTGAGGAAGTTATCCTCCACACGTTCCAGGAACCACCTGGATTGTTCCCTCTCTGCTGTGCTGTGATCCCAGCAGATACCCGGGAGGTTAAAGTCCCCCACAAGAACAACGACAAGTGACCGTGAGATTTCTCCCAACTGGTTATAGAAAGCTTCATCCACCTCACTCCTTTGGTTGGGGTGTCTGTAGCAGACCCACAGCAATATCTGCTTTTATTGGCCCTTAACCTAATCCATACACTCTCAACCCCATTATCACTCTACTTGATTTCTGAGCTGTCATAGCATTCTCTTACATAAAGGGCCACTCCACCACCTCTCCTTCCCTGTCTATCCCTCCTGAAGAGCTTGTAGCCATCGACTGCAGCACTCCAGTTGTGTGAAGCATTCCACCACTTTTCTGTGATAGCTATTGTGTCATGGTTCTCATGTTGCATCATAGCTTCAAGCTCCCCCTGTTTGTTGCTCATACTGTGTGCATTGGTACAGATGCACTTGAGACGAGCTAATGAATGCAACACCTTTTTTGTAAGTGTGGGCCTCATTTCCTACCAGACCCTTCTCAGGTGCTTCCACAGTTCCTAACCATCTTTCCCTTCTCTAAAATGAAGTGGCAGAGGGAGAACCCTCACCAATCCACCATCCTTCAAGCATGCTTCTCTTGAGCTTGTTCCTAACAGGCCCAGTCATCTCCCCATCCCCCCTCATATCTAGTTTAAAGCCCTGTCAATAAGCCCTGCTAACTCCTGCCCCAGAATCCTTTTCCCTCTTTGAGAAGCTGCATCCCAGCTGTCTCATTTGTCACCAGCAGACCAGGTGCCTTATAAACCTCACCATGATCAAAGAACGCAATATTCTGATGGTGGCACCAGTCTCTGAACCACATGTTGGATGTGTTTTCCACCCTCTTTCAGTGGTTTTCCCTTCCACTTGAGGGATTGATGAAAACACGACCTGAGCTCCAGAGCCTTCAATTAGCCACCCCAGTGCCTTGAACTCCTTTTTGAGTGACTTTAGACTTCTCTCTACCACCTCATCATTACCTGCCTGGATAACTAACAAGGGGTAGTAATCAGAGGGCCGCACCAGAGCAGTGACCTTCCTTTGAATATCTTTGACCCGAGCTCCAGGGAGGCAGCAGAATGGCATGGGTCTGGTCGACATATGGGCCCCTCCGTACCACTCAGAACAGAGTCACCCACAATTACCCTCCTCCTTACTTGAAGAAGTTGCAAGCCATGGGGCTGAGGGACAAGCAGTGGATGACTCACCAGATGGGTCCTCATTTCCATCTTCATTTGGCTGGCCATCTAGTTGTATAATGACAACTGGGAAGGTGAGGGGGGCAGAGAAGGTTTTTGCTTGCCTTTCTGAGGAAGGACTTGACTCCGTCATTACCTCTGTCCCCCACATGCCCTCTTTCTGCCTGGTAAGAGGAGGTGAGGGAGTCATGTATTTCTTGTGGAGCCTCTACCTGCTGCCTTTGCCTCAGTGTGGCTCCACCAGTCAATCTCATTTTCACACTCTTTGATCGTTCTCAACCTTTCTACCTCCTCCCTCAGTTCAACCACCTGCCTGAGCAGATCATTTACTTGATCACACCGCACACAGTGTCTCTGACTCCCTCCTGTTCAAGTGCGAAGCTCAGGCACTCTCGGCAGGCAGAGACCTGCACAGCCGCCTGTTGGTGCAACCTCTGTCTGGGTTCCCACATTCTCCATCACTCTGCCTCTTGGCCGTGTTGTGACCACGGTCTTCTCTCTGGCGGGGCGGAACCAACCCCTGGGTGCTGTTTCCCACACGCTGTGCTCTCACATCCCTGCAGAGCCGTGCCTTCCCTCCCCCTCTCCGGCACTGATCAACTGCTTGCAGGGAGCCAACGTACCTTGTGCGGTGGCAGAGCCCTGCTGGGGGCACCCACAGCCAAGCACGGTCTGATGATGCTGAGCTCCCGCAGGGTTCGCACCACCGGATCAGCGGTGGGTGGTGCTGGTTCCGCCAGCCCCTTACCGGGGGTGGGTGTGAGCCCGCTGGTGTGCTTACACCTCGTTCAGAACAGGCGCCACCGGCCCTTGGCTCCGCCTCCTCAGAGCCGGCTGGCCGCCGCCTTGGCTCCGAAAGATTCAAAAGCCCCCCCCAAAAAGCTCCTTGCCGGTCCCTTTTGCCGCGATCCCCCCCCCCAGTGCGGACTTACCTACACTGGAGCTGGTCTCCTCGGCGAGCGACCGCAATGTTGTTACCGTTGAAAGAGTTTTGTCAGCTCTAGATTTACAGGAAATCGTTGCTTATCTTTATGAAGGTTTTCCTTTCTTAGAAACAGGTCAAAATGTGCGGAGTTGCTGTGGCAGTGCATTTAGCCTCTGGGTGTTGCTCTTGGACAGCGCTGTTGGCAGACTAGTATTTTGTAGAGGAATTACTGAAGCTGCGTGCTGTTGGATGAAGAATGCAGAAATGTAGTGTGCAGTGGGCAAGAAGCAGCACCAAGGGAATTGGGGAGCCCTTGGGTACAATTATACAGTCCACTGGGGATGAAGACACCACCTTGGCAGGTCCACCTCTGATTACCTGGTTTTCCATCCTTAAACCAATTAGTGTTGTTTGTTTGTTTGTTTGTTTGGTTTTTTTTAATAACATGTAAGA